ATGTTCCCGCACTGAGCATTTATAGAAGCTTGGAATCCTGGCCAGTCTACGCTTTTCACAGGCCGGAGAGACGAACGATGGAATCCTTTTAGCTGTATATATGTAGGGAGATGGTCACTTCCATGTGTTTCAACGTCTACAAACCAACAGGTGGTAGGCAAGAGACTTCTGCTCACAAAACATACGTCTAGACAGCTGCTGCACGATGCGCCATGGAGGTAAGTAGGTGAGCCATCGTTAATGGACATAAGGCCCTGATTGAGCACAAAATCGGCAATGTCCCTACCGCGGGTGTTCATTGAGGCAGAATCCCACATGGGATGATGTGCATTAAAATCCCCAACTAATACATGTGGTCTAGGGCAAGCTTGGAGAACAGAAAAGAGATGGGGACAGTCCATGTAGCTTCTAGGAGGAATGTATCCACCAATGATTGATATTGAACGTCGCTTGTGCTTTATAGATAGAAAAATATAGTCGTTAGAAGCATGAGGAGCCACGGCATGTCTCACGTACGTTAAATCTTGACGTACGCATATAATTACTTTGCTCGCATTTCGATCATCACGTGACCACAGAGTGACGTATCCGGAAATACGAAACGACGACATCATATTCGGCTCACATATTACAACCAACGGAAATTTGTATTTAAACATCCGTTGTCGAAAGTCAGACAATCGGCTTCGCAAACCTCGTGCGTTCCACTGCATTATAGCAGAGGTGCGCACACGTTCATCGTAGAAATTCGCCATATTGTTTATGAAAGGGTCAGCAGTAGCGGTTCCAGCACGTTGAGGATCTGCACTGCTGTTTTTGCACTCCTGGTGTGTGTAGCTCATTGAGAATCGCACGAATAGATTTTAGTAGATGCTTCAGCATAATTTGGCTCTTCTCAGTGTCTTGCCTATCATTTTCCGCCCTCTTTGAAGTTGCAGCCCATAATGTGGTCTTTTTTATTGCTCCGGTCGGTAGCGAAGGCCATTAAGTATCTGAAGCATCGGCGTGCCACGCGGGCGTTGGTCCACTTTCTGCATCCCTGGGACGTGGTGCGTACAACATGGGTGTAGCGGCCTGATAATGCGCACGTGTATGTTCATCTGTTGCTGATGGTGATGCATCACTCCTATGTCCACTGTGCTTTCGCTGGTGCCTACGTTTTGGACGACGTCTGTGTCGGCGGATGGACGTGACTGCTTCTCTGTGTGTCGAGTTGTCTCTGACCATCTTCCGCAGGACGCGAATTTCTTCTTTGGTCTTCGGGCACTCCTTCGACGTTGCTTTATGTGCACCAGAGCAGTCTGGGCATTTCAATCGAACAGCAATGTCGCCGTTTTCCACCTTATGAGACCCACCGCACCGCTGGCAAGTGATCTCACTTTTGCACACTGCGCTGACGTGTCCCAACTTGCAGCACTTGTGACACTGCAAAGGCCGTGGCACGTAAGGGCGCACGGGATGTCTCACGTATGCAACCTTCACGCTAGGGGGCAGAGTCTCAGAATCAAATACTAGTTTGATGCAGCGAGACTGCCCGAAGCGGCGTATGATCACGATTTTGACTGTCGACGTCACAAGATTCTGCAGGTCAGCGTCTGTGATGTCAGCGTGGACGTCATTTATCACGCCAGTCGTTGTTCCTTTCCCGTGAGCGAGAAACGCGCAAACTGAAATACTTCCGTGCTGCGTGACGGCCTTCAATTTGTCAAGAATGGTTTTGTTTGTCACATCAACTGACAATATGTTTTTCCTGCTATTTATGCGAATTTCATTCACTTGAGCAGGTGCTACTCGCTCGAAATAATTAGTCAATGACTGCCTGTTTAGTGAGTTCTGGTTGTCTGATGTAGAGTTGGGTACATACGAGATGGTGAAACATCGCTTGCCTTTGTCTAGCACTGATTGTGGCTCCGCCGTTGATGACGTCCTGCGAAGCTTCCTTTTCAACCGGCGGGTATGGAATGTCCTGAAGTCGGCTTCCGATTCCATCTCTTCCACTGATGAGCTCTCGGTAGAATCATCACAAGGAGCAGATGCGCCAACACGGTCACCTACATTCAGTCCATCCCTATGCAAACGGCTAGGGCCCGCTGTCTCGTTGGATGGATGGTCTCCCATCGCGGGGGGGTGACGTCTTCCGTTCCGCTTGTTCAGATGAAGTCAGGAATTCTGACAATTTAAGAAAAAACGATAGTTGTTCAAGGCAGAATTATGCCCGAACGCCAGGTCAACTCTTGTTTTCTTCATACCTTAGCGGACCAGTGAGAGTACTTGAACTTACCCAGTTTTTGCGCCACGTACCCGTTTATGATAGTAATATTTTTTTCTTGCGTGGGAGGAAGATGGAATGAACTGGTAAACAGCGTGGCTAATAAAAGTTATCCACATTTTCCCAACCCTCATCGCACCCAGCATGCTCGAGCTGAAAATTGTAAATGAAATTGTGGTAACGCAGCTATCGTATTTTATGCAGGTCTTGCATCCAGTGCCTTAAATGGTGCCAACATTGGGCGTGCCAACGAACATCGGTCGTGTCTGTTGCGCCTCACGTTGCAGCTCACGTTTTTCTAGCGTAGCGTCGCTCTTCTCAGCGCGCCCAATCAAGCAAGAACGAAGGCGCGCCCATCACGTTCCATTTCAACCCTGCCATTTGCTCCAGAGGGAGCACGTGTGTTCCATTGGTGGATTTCTTTCTGTTGCTCTCCGCCAGTGTGGAGTGCTCTGGTGCAGAGTTCATCGGTCACTCCGAATGCGCCGATTGATGACACCATTTGAAAGTACAAGCTAATAACTATAGTGCTGTAATATCATTTGTAGACACGTGAATGATGGTCTAAGGTGGACTATATACTCAGCGACAAATTTACTTGGCACTGAAAGGAAAGCCATGGAGCCAAATCACGTGCGTTCTACCGCAAGTGAGGGTAGTTCCAAAGTAGCGCCCATATTTTCAACGTGAATTATAATGTTTCTTCTTTATTTTCTTTGTAGCTATTTGAGACAGAACACAGCTCATATCTGTAAGATATTATATCAGTTGTGACTTCAAGTTTTTGAACGCGAGAAGACCCGACTTTTTACGTGCACTTCCAACGCTAAGCGGCGTCTGTGTCTACATGAAAGGCTGATCGTGCGTCCCCGTCACGTTCCACAGCGTTACGTGTCGCGCGCCAAAACAGGCTCCTTCGCGTAGTGCTTGCTACATGTGCAGAAGCTCCGCCTCCGTAGCTTTCCCTTCAGTTCCAAGAGAAGTTGTCGCCGAGTGTAGCCTTCATGTGCAGCCCACCTGGAGGCGGCATGCACATGAAGGTTCCCTAGACTAGGACTGAAGGTGTTTCAATACGCCCCATAGTGACGGATTTTTTTCTTATGTGCCTAATGTCGAGCACCAATTTTGTACGTGATCTGAAAGCTTAGGCTTTGACGTGTACAGCGTGAGTTAGTGGTCGAAACAGATTGCATATCTGGGCCAGTTCTCAGATTATTAAGGAGGTTACTGATAATGTACGGTTTATGAGTGCCCGGTTTTCGAATAATTAGTTTAGAAATATTTCGACATAGAAGAGCAATTATGTAGTGACCATATTCCGCCTCTTCAGATTATACGAGCTGATAGTTTTAACATACTGATCAGGTTCTGGATGACCGATGACTGTAACTTCAAGGAAATACCGCTGTGGTTCGTGACCGTATACGTTAGAGAACAACATAGTGTCAAACAACTTCATTTGAAAAGCCTGTGGTTTCCTCAGAGGAGATCAAGCCATGTCTGATTGCTACCTCTCAAGCGCGATTGATGGCCCGGAACAGGCTGTCCGTAATCGTAGTCATCCGAACCTCTAGCGGGCATCACTTGACGGCGACGACTCTATGGAGTTTTGGAGGACGTCCTCGCTGCAATCTTAGGTCATGAGGTCTATGGTCACGGTCTGTGTCTTGAAAAGGGGACATTTAGATGTGAAGAAGTCCAGGCTGATATATTCTCAAATACATGGAGAAGGGAAAGAGTAAGCTTGAAGCCACCACCAAACGAATTATTGCGCGCTGTGTAGTTTTGAATGCTGGCCTAGTTTGGCCTGCTTTGCTAGCTTGTAGTTCTGCACGATGTTTTTTGTAGTTATTTCATTCACATGGGTGCATATAAGCAGTACATCGCTACACTTCAGTATACAATACAAACTGGCCCCCGTGTAAGCGCTCTTTATTGTTCTTTCGAATCTTAAAACGTGTCTTTCCCTCTTTCACCTTGAACTTTCGCGAAAATTGAAAATTCTTGGCACATTGCTGTCGGGAATAAAAAAGGGGATTTTCATAACACCACAGTAGCGACCAGAAGTGTTATCGCAAGAAATTCTAGGGTATAGCTTTCTTATTTTAAAGGGTTTCAAAAAGCTTTATTTTTCCTTTTCTTGTATCTTAATACGTCACGCGCATATTATACCAGTGTATTTTAGAGTACGACTGCTCACGCGAAGCAGTTATACCAGCATCATACACTGCTGAATATGCGGGTCAGGCGAACACAAGGGTGATGAAGAAGAAGACGACTTTACTTTGGTTAGGCCACCACTTTCAGGAGAATTTCATATAACGATTCCACCACAGATATTTAACAAATTCTATTATTTCTCCCCCCCCCTTTTTTTCTTTTTTTCTTTTTTTAACATTGCGCCAAATTAATTTCACAGTCAAAACACAGTATTCATATTCCCCTAATCTAGAAAATCTATAGGTATTTACTTGCATTAACCACCGGCTTCTTGGCCAATCCCCCTTAGTGGGTGAGAGCCACAAAAGAAAGGAACAAGCAAGCAAGCAAGCAAGCCACCACTCTCGTGTTCTGGTCAAGCTTGCGTTAATCACCGGAAACGGGCATCGCTAAACGCACGAACCTCAACAGAAGGTGAGAGAGTATTGCCGAATGCGTTACAGGGCACTTGCGTTGAATGAGGGGTGTCGCTTCCTTTTTCCGAACACCAGCCGTCTGCAGCCCACCCGACATGTCACACCACAGCGGTGACCACATGGACGATGACCAGCGCCCAACAATGCCCCGTCCGCTGCTGCTGACCCTGATAGGCAGCTGGATGGGATCGCTGTGCATGGGCAGCACGCTGGGATACTCGTCCCCCTCAAAGCACAGCTTGGAGCACACCTTCAAGGAGGGGCTGCACGGGTTTGACATCAGCACGAACGACTGGTGAGACTGCAGCACCTCTTGGTGGCGAGAGAGGCAGTATTACTCTCCCGTGCGTTATAGGCGGTGGTAATGGCTCATTAGTATGCTGTTTCGTTCAATTCTACGTAGCTTTCTCTGTGAGGTGGTCATGTTTTTTTACGACTTACGCATTCACTTCTAACGACAGCAGTGTAAAATGTAGTTGTCGGATTTAGTTATCTTCACTACTATCTAAAAATACTCTGTTTTGCCTAAATAACACTATTGTTATGAAAAACGCTGCACTGATTGCGTCCATTTGCTTCAATAATGCTCCTATGACCTGAATACGCGAAGTTTTGTGCATTTAAAACCTGTTGAGTAGCGGCTGCCAGAATCGAAACTACTGAGGACACAATATACCAGGAAGTATGAAGCCCACATGATCAGGTGCGACTAAATCAAGTATTAAGTACGATTGCGAACTCGTGTTGTACATGGGCGATGACAGATAATGGCAAAAAAAAAACAACAGTAGAAATGGCCGCAACCTGCAAGGAGCAACCACTTGATTTCACATATTTCATCAGCAACCAACCATTAAGGTTAGTGTACAGCTATAAGCATTTAGAAGTAATCATAACCGCTGATTTACGCTGGAGTAAGCATGTTGTGTTTAGTGCTTGAAAAGTCTACGGACAATTAGGATATATGTATGCTTTCGGCGCACGCGGGTTCACACAACACCAGAAATAAAATTGTTAGCTTACAAGACGTTTGTTATGGCTATATTGGAGTATGCTGCGGAGGAGCCTAGGATCCCAGGCCAGCCTCTATTGTAAGGAAACTAAAACATTTGTAAAAATTTGTTAGGTTCATTTACATAAATTATAGTTGGAAAACATCTCTGTCACCCCTACTACAGAAAGCAGAACTAGAGAACCTTGAACTTTGGTCTATTCACATGAAAAAAAAAATGGCCGAGCTGAAGTGCAGAACGCTAACCTTTTGCACTCTTTCTTTCCTCGAACAGTCGTCGAATTGAACGCTTTACCTTCTGATGTGGTAGAACCACAAAAAATTGATTATTTTATGCATACAATAAGAGATATGGCTCCATAGGCGCTACACTGCGCTTAGTTGGGTGTCATGTGACGTCGTGTATTTTCTTTGCAATGTTCGAATGCACGCTGCAACTTTTTTTGTGCTATGTGAATACGGGATGTGTGCGTGTATAGGCTTTATGCTGTGTGGGTATTTGATATTCGTAATATGGGTAGCTTGGGCTTCGCGAGCGCCTACTGCCACAGTTTTTGTTTCATTTTGTTGTTTTTGCATATTTGTGAATGTCACTGTTTCACAATATATCACTCCATGTTCTCGTTTTTTTTTCAAGCTTGCGTTGTGTTAGTTGTTCATGCCCCACTCCTGCCTAAGGCCTTCATGGAAAACCAGCAGTATGTTACAAAATAAATAAATAAACGCGTCGTTTCTAACTCCCATATTCAGAAACGCTTCTTTGCAGGAACTTACCACCGCCTTCAGTGCAGCTCGTTTGAAACGCGTTTTACATGCGGAGAATGTTATAATAGGGGCTAGTCATGAGCCGTTGCCGTCCGCAGCCTCCCCTCCCCTCCGCCAGCCATCTGTGCATCCCTTCCTCCTCTCAACACAGTGCGCGCTGCACTCGCTTCTCCCCTCCGCGTGCCGCGCGACCTTTAGTTTTACGTGCGCCAGCTGTATGCTAACGCGCGCATGCACTGGCCGGGGCCAGCTCTCGCTATAAGTGACCGAGTGTCGGGATGCGCCGCCCTTCGTCGGTTGGTTTGTGTGGTCGCTACACGTCCGATGTCACTGGTGAAATTGTATGCTAACGAATCCGCTAACACACTTACTGACGTCCCTTCCAATAGCGTCAGCCAATGTGTTGGCGGAACCGCAAGCAATTCCGAAGACACTTCGTCCGTGGACAAGGCCGCGCTGAGAAGAGCTCGCGATGCGGAACGCAAACGTCGGCGTCGAGCGGAAGATCCCCAGCTCCGAGAACCGTGAAGCAGCTGCGAGACGTCAGCGTCGAGCGGAGGATCCCCAACGCGAAGCATGGTGCAATACGTCAACGCCGAGCGGAAGATTCCCAGCTTCCGAGAACGCGAAGTGGCTGCGAAGGCGTAAGCATCGGCGAGAGAATTCCGGACGGTGAAGCTGCGTGCAAGCGTCGACGCCACGAGGCCGATCTCGATGCCACCCGCGAGCGCGAGCGCGCCGCGATAGTGGCGTGGCGAGCCAAGCAGTACGCCACGCCCAACGCTCAATTCAAGCGCGACTTCCTCTACCGAAGCTTCGGCCACAGCTGCAAGGTGTGTGATCGACTTTGGTTCGACAACAACTTGACCCGGATCGGCAACATTCAGAATGAACTGCATCGTTCCAAAGCGTTGTCGGTTCTTTGCGATGCGTTTGGAAGCGACGCCGAAGAATTTGCCGAATACGTCGCGTGTGCCACGTGCAAGCAGTCGTTAGTTGCCGGTAAAATTCCATCGCTCAGCGTGAGTTACGACTACCCCCTACCCACCCCCACCAGAGCATCTACCCGAGTTGAACGCTGTCGAAGAACGGTTCATCGCTCCTCGACTCCCGTTTATGAGTATACAACGCTTGACTCACGGCAACGAACAGTACGGAATCAAGTGCCAGGTAGTTAACGTCCCCATCGAAGTTCCAGCCGTCGTTGGGTGTCTGCCTCGCAACATTCCAGACGACGCTGCCATCGACGTCCACGTCAAGGAGAAACTGGTGAGCAAGGCCACGTACAAGCGAGGGTTGGTCAAGCGCAGCAACATTCACGCTTGGCTCAAACACTTGGAAAACACCTCGCTGAGCACTGCGTCGCTAGCGTCTTCAGAGTCGACGTCATGGCGATGTACCTCGCGCCCAACCTATCGCATGCCGCCGTGGAGAAGTACGTCGACGAAGCCGTGGAAGAATACCTGAAACAATGACCGCAACGATGACCCTTCGTGATAGTTGGCGGCTTCAGTGTCGACGTCATGCAAGGACGATTAGGTGGTCAACTACATGAAGTCGTGGCACTCGCTGAAACAAGCAACGCATGACGGCAAACATCATCCGACCACGGTTCGCGGGACGTGCATCGACCACGTCTTCGCAAATTTCGACCTTCGACCACTGCAACCAGACCCACTCACCCTTTACTTTACGGACCATAAAGCCATCTTGCTCAAAATACCCAAAGCGTCTGATGAATAAACATCGTCTTTCGCAGGATACGTGCGTGCGTGTTCACTCATGTTCACTCGTGTTTTACTCATAACACACACGCATGTCGCAAATTACAAACCAAATTTATCGCAGTTCAACATATATGCTCCGCATGCTAACCAGTGTTCCCTCTAGAGAAACTGCGGTCATTTTTTGCGCTTGTGCTACATTGGCACTACCTAAAGCAGCGAGTTTGAAACGCTTGTGCTGCATTGAAGCCGATGGCAAATCAAGTTCAAGTGGAGGAGCCTTTCTGAACACGGGGTTGAGCGTCCGTCTTATTCGCTGCGTTTCTAATAGAAGTACCGGCGCTTGCTTTCCACGTTATATGTTTGACGTTATATGTTTAATCTGCTATGTGTTCGTGCGACATGCCATTAAGTGAACTTTAATTTTCTTCATCTTTAATAATTTAAATATTACTGATGTCACTTCTCGCTAACAAAAAGTGCAAATTATGGAAAATGCAGTTTGAAGGCTTCTTTGGCATCCATTTTGTATACGTCAGTGGAAGTGCGCCAGCAAGAGTGCTCGAACTTTGTGCACGTGATATACCACAGCAGGACATCTATGAATTGCTACGGCTACATTTTGCAACCTCAATCTAAGTCAGCTGACTGCAATAAGGTATTTCGGCCTATGACTGCAGAATATACCCGTGGTACTATTATTTTCGCCCACAACAATGAAAATGAAAAGTGTATGTAGGTATTTTGCAGATTTATTTAAGAGAAATGCCGCCAAGCGGGGATATGTCTTTTCAATAATAATTGTTTGTTTAGTTCAATGAATACTTGTTTGTTACCTGAATATCTGCATTTCCTAAAGAATATTTGTAAATAAAACTTCCTGCTTGGTGAGGTATTTGAAAATATAACTATATTTTTTAATTTTTTAATGTAGCAAGACTATGTACGCATAAAAAGGTATTTTTATTTGGTTATGTTGTGTTCCATCCAACGTAATGACTTCGTGGCGATGTGTATCCTTACCGAAACGAAATGCGACACAGAATCTTTAAGCACAACCACTGTCCTGCACAATTGCTCGAATTCACCGCGTGATGTCGCAACAAAACGGGCCGCGAAAAAGTAAGGTAGCCTCTGATATAAACAAATGTTTCGGTTGAAATGACGCCAATATCCCACAAAGTCGTCGCGGAGAAGGAAAAACGCGTGAAATTTTAAGTTAAACTCGCAATGAAGCGCTAAATTGTTTCACGTCAGTTTGTCAGAGTCGTACACATTCTCTCACAAAAGTGCATTAGCAGGTTTGTCAATGCTGCTTTCCTTTCGAACGAAAGTTGACGCACTGCTGTCTGCCTCTTCGCTTGCAGGTACGACCCTCTGATGACAATCGGTGCCCTCCTGGGTGCTGCGGTCAGCGGCAGCGTGTCGCAAGCCCTGGGCCGCAAGAGCATGCTGACGGTCATCTCCCTTGGCTTCATGAGCGGATGGATGGTGATTTACCTGTCGCGCGGACACATCTTCCACATCTACTCGGGACGCTTCCTCACCGGTTTCGCCATGGGCCTAGTTTCGCTCGTGTCCCCTTGTTATATCTCCGAGGTCACGCTGCCTCACAACCGCGGAACCATGGTGAGTTTACTTCGCAATGTGACTGTCAGCACGCTAAAAGAAATTGCTATAATTGTACCAAACAATAAACTTCATAGTGTAAGTGCTACGTCCATTCCGCCATTTCACGTCAAGCATTCGATCGGTACCGACGCACTAATGTTGAGTTATGTGCCTAAACGGACTGACAACCGTCCAGAACGTGCAATCAGATCGTTGTAGAAATAACAACACAATGAGATATAGTGAAATAGTCCAGCATTATTTTTGTGTTGTGACTGAAATTTATATTTATAAACCATGTTTCAAATCACCACACAAAAAAACCGTCTTGTGGGACTGCCTATAGCGGATGAGCCTCACAGCTGGATTATGAAATGTGGAGTCGACCACTATACTAAACGTGCACGTCACGTATTCTGCTGCTGTCATGCATGCTAGTCCTCAACATGGAAGTATCTATATTATTATACATCTCTGCTCAATTCTGTGCTGTTTACGACGTAAAAGCAGCTGCACCATAGAGAAACTTACTTACATAGTATGTTTCTCCATGGCAGCACGGTGAAAAGTGGCGCTGGCATCGCGGCTGCCAGAGGACCACGTCGAGGCGTGGAACATGTATGCGCAGTGTGCGCACGCGCAGTAAACCACCGCGTTCAAACAAGAACTGTGCGCGCGCTCACTGTTTGCAGCATGAGGTCACACGACTTCGTATTCGTTGCAGGTAGAACAAGTTATGTTTACAAATATTTCGCAGCGTTCTTCAGTTTACCATTCCGGGATTAAGCTCATGATTCCTTCTTCGTGTTTAGAAAAAAAAATATAGGCGCCATAAAAATGGTTGTTGGTCCCGTTATTTTAGCAGAGTCTTCTGCTGGGCTTTTCCTTCGTGAGGACGTCACCTATATCGACACACTTCACACGAAGTGCTTTTGCTCGCATTTTGTGTTTCAAATGTGAACGTTGCAACAAGAAATCCAGGAAAGAAGCTGCCAGGCCTGCGTGGAACAAACAGTACAGTCACAGCGAAAGCTAGAAGAGGGACCTTTTAGAGTCTTTTGAAACACTCTTTGGGTATCTGCTGCAAGCACACTTACAAAGTACCCATTACGCCATAAATACACATATCTGTGTGAGGAAGGCAATCATTGTTTGTTTGTTTTCCCTTCAACAATAATGGGACGTACCCACTCTTATGGGATTGGCTGAGAATGAGTAGCATATAATTTGGAACAAGTTATTCCAAATTGTTAGGAGATTAAAAAAAAATAAGCAAATGGAATCGGTACGTATTACAATAAATTAGGACCTCAAGAAATAATATTTCGAGCTGGAACTTTTGACTGCCCTAATGATTTGGTGCGAACAGTCTTGAAGAGATTATTTAAATCTTACAGCATCTAAGTAACAAAAAATTTTTGAATACGACACTAAATTGGTACCTGTTTAGTGGTCTGAATGAAATTACAAACCACATCAAAGCTATACCGTGGCAGTATATGAGGCGTCGTGAAGCCTTATACAATTTCTTCAGTCAAGAATAAGCCTGATAGCGGAGTAATGAAAAGTCGTGTTCTAGTATTTCAGTGTCGGCAACAAGACCTTAAGTTATGTGCAATGTTATCTAATTCTCACTATGCCGACCTTCATACTTCGGAGAAGCTGTGCTATCCGCTATACACTTACCTGCAAAGAAATTAGTGCAATGTTTTTGTGCTATGGCTGACGACATTAAAAAATTATCCCTGAAGCTTTTTTTAATTAGTCGGAGAATTCAATCACCCAATTATTACAAAATTCTAATTCTGTGACGCTTGGTTGTTTTTGGTTGTTCTAAAAGGCTTCATTACTCATAGTAGTGCGATTCCTTTTCGGGCATCAAGCCGGCCTATAAGGCCAGTTTGCAACAGGGTTTCAAGGCACCGGCGTGGTTTGTAGTAGAAAACTAGGCTAACACGCAGGTTCAAATACCAGCGTGTTGATGGTGTTTTTTTCTTTTCTTAGTTTTTTTTGTATCTCGTGCGATGGCGGTTACAGACACCGGTGGCGGCGGCGGACAACTACGGCGCACGTGACCTTTGTTCTGATCTCATAACAGCTTTCGCTGTATTAAAATTTAAATATACACCTCAAGCCCCCCCCCCACCCCCTTATGAGATGAGCTGAAGATCACTATTTGTCAGAAGTTTGCTAATAAGGGTGCTTTCCTCAAAAATGAACAGCCTGGCAAACTATGGCCCACGTCATCACGTCCTGGAGGCATGAGCTCATCCTCCCCCTTTTTGTAACTTTTTATGAGACACGCCAAGAAAGAGGACTCAGGAAAGTGAACTACCTGGGGTTCTTTACCATGCACCTAAATCAACTCTAGTCAGCTAGTCGAAGGTTTGGGTGACTGTGCATAGTTGTGTGAATGGTGCAGCGCTATAATAGAATCCCAGACGATCCATTTCAACGTCGTCGTTTATGGAGTGTTTTATTGTTTATGTACCCTGATGTACCCTCTTTGTGTTAGGTCACTTCAAAAATCTGCAGCAGGGGTGACCACGGCTTCTGTGCTGGCCACAGCAACTGAAGTTTCAAGTGGCGCTATGTGACACTTCTGTTGTTTTCGAGGTATCTCCAATAACCCAGTTGGTCAGGATCATTCGTAAGCCTCCCATTACAGGATGTCTTGTGACTAAATGATCTTTGTTACAGGATGCTTCTGAAACTTTACCTTTACTCTAGGGAATGTTTCTTAGCGGTGTTCTGTGCGGAAAGGCTAATAATATAACATACGGCTCTTTTATGAAGCTGTTGGGAAAATCACCGCTGTTTGGTCAACTGAGCAAAGCAATACAATAATAAATGATAGGGCTGAGCCCCACGAAACAACGATGTGATTATGAAAGATGCCGTAGTGCAGGCCCGCGAAAATTTTGACCTCGGGTTTTTAGCGTGCACCTTTAAGTCCACTGCCCTCAAGCATTTTCCTCTCTAGTAAAAATGCGGCCTGCCAAGCGGCAATACTTTCACAAACTTTACTATATTTTTGTAGGGATGACGGCCTTGCTCGATTATTTCATTGCTGACTGTCGTGGGAAAACATTTTGCGAGAGGCTGTCCGAGAGTGGCTGATTGCAACTGTTGAAGCAGTCGGGACTTCTGTGTTGACATAGTGCTTTCCGGGGAAGCATGTTTGTCTCTACAACCAAAATGCAACACACAGACCATCGCGTCCGGCGAGTACGAAGTAACTATAATTTTAAACCAATCACCGTATAATACATACCTACCGAACTGCTAGGAGACAATTCCGCGCTCTTTGATTCACAGGCCGGTTTCGGCAACCATCTTTAGTCATTAGAGTTGGCGCAATATTCAGTGATTCGGAGTGTCACAATCATGATTTTAGCTGTTTAGAAATCGAACCGTTTTCTTTCTCTTGCTGCATCAGAATCGCGCTTCGCGTACTAAAGGCGTGAGAACAGTTGCCTAAGTGAATACAGTTTACGTACAATATGACTGTGTTGCTTTCAAATTGTTTACACAATGCGCCGACTGGGTCCACATGCGCGTAAAGTAGGCAAAATACTCCTTGATTACTCTTAAGTATGTGAGAGCGTTATTGATGTGGTTCAAGCATTACTTACGTAAGAAGCGACCTTATGATGGCATCAATACTTCCTAATCATTCCTATGCTTTGCTAGCGGGAAGCAAGATGAGGTTCAAGTGGCCCTCAATTATCTTCACCAGCATTTTCTGGTGTTTTTTGCAACATCTGCACTGAGACCACATTCAATCAGCATGACATTAAAATCTACTAATTTAATTCCATTACTATAGTTACATACAACTTATGACGATGCTGACGTCGGCTATATTTCCGCGTGGAAGGCGTATGCACACAAGGCTGAATCAATGGGTACGCACTCCGCACTGACGTATGAGACAGGCAGCCGGTGGCTCCACCTTCGGAGAACTCTGCCGAGCGCGAGAGCGGGACTATTTCTATTGTCACAAAGGTTATCTGCTTCACAAAGGTGTTTCGTCACAAAGGTGTTTCGGCCATCTAGATGGGGCTTACCCGATTATTCTTGTTCCCGATTATTGTTACTTGAGCTCCGCAACAACCCCAAGAAATTATATCAACCTGTACACACAATACTGCGGCAGCCAGGTTAAGACTTATTTTATGAGTTAGTTAGTTAGTTAATTATGACCATGTCTATTGTTTTACAGGGTGACAATTTTTTGGCCAACATTGAAAACAATGTCAGGCAGGGCTATCGCTGATGTTACCTGGACGGTGCAGATAGTTCGGAAAATAAATAACAACCAGGCAAGCAGGTCACAAACAAAGCGTGGACCAAGAACTCCTAGTCAATTCATGTACAACTAAATTAAAAAAAATGCTAATTGCATGAAAAAAATTACACCATCTTTCCGAGGGGAACCATGGGGTGGTGCAGAGCATCGCGGATCGTTATTAACGACGTCATTACACAGATTTTGTTGGGCGTTTAAATTTGTCTAATACCGTTTTTATCCGTGGTGTTACTACCGTTGTAAATTTGCGTGTTACTACGTTGTTAATTTGCGTTCGTTACCACTCATTGAGTGAACGTTATTGGAAACGCCGAAGCTCTGATTCAGGAGTTCACGTTTGTAGCGAGCGTCGGGGCTGCGCGTGCTCCTTGGATCGCGCCGCCTCGTGGTCGTGTGCAGCACCTGGAGCAGCGTCTCGTTGACGTTTGCACGCGGTTTACAGTTTTCGCAGGTCGGGCTCCGCCACTCTCTTCGTACGTTTACGTTGAACTTCAGGGTCCCGAGCCTTAGGTTCGGCTGCTCGACGTTCACGAACCAATGCGGCTTCTCGTTCTCGAAGTTCAGCGTCCGGCGCTCGCTTCAAGAGTTAGCGTTCAGCGTCGCGTGCCCTTTGCTTCCTAGCTTTGTCTTGAGTGGATGAAACGTTGCTGTAAGTGTTCGCGCTGATGCTGACGCGTGTTTGCGTCAGATCACTCACTTATGGGACAGTTGCTTCCATCACACTTCATCGGAAGCGTCAACGGGGTGAAGCGGAGTCGACCGTGAGTCGACCGAAGCGGGCGCTGCACTGAACGTGCAGAGCCAGATCAGACCTGCCACTTTAGAGAAAGGAAACTATATCTTTGGACTGTTGTATTAAAATAACATGAAAATAAGGTGACGGCGGCGTGCTATACTACAATACCGCGAGACGAGATGGCGCTACTGGTACTATCATCTTCATTAGAAAGACCCCTCCCCCCCTCTTTTTTTTCCTTCAGGTTGGGTGGCTCGTTAAAAATTTCAATACTGCAATGTGCTGCCACCGTGTGACACCTACGCAAAGTCATCGGCAAAAAGCTCCATATGTTGAAAAATAAACCAACTAGCCCACCAAGCAACCATTCTAAGCAAACTGATGTAGTTTTTACTCACCAGTCCGTTATTCTCTGGCTTGCAACGAGTGTTGATCCGATGAAAGCTTCGGTGGTCACTTCGTTCCCCTGAAGTCAGCTGAATGCGCTTCGCGAAAGCCTTTCAACGAGTCAAAATAAACAGAACGCGGAAATCGTCCGAATGCGCCGTGATCTGTTGCCTGCCGTCGCTGCCATTGGCCGCCGGCTTTGAAATTAGGATAATGATGTGCAAAGGCTGCTATAACTACGAGTCAGCTGGAGTAAAAACTATTACTAAAGAATGGTGACGGAACACATGGTTAGACAAATCTACTTGGTATATGAGCAAATTGTTTAATTTAGGTGTAGCGTTATTATGCCAAATGTAGTATTAGTTTCTTTTAGAATTGAAATGTGGCCCCGACGAGGGTGCCCCTACAAGAAAGTGCAAGAGCACGAATGGCGGTGCCCCGGTGATTCATACCGCAGTGGTCTGTAGATCCACTTCGGGTGTTTGAAGCCAGAATGCACCGCGGTTGATTTTTTAGCCCCTTACAGGTTATCAGTAAAATTTTCGAGTTCCAGGGACTTGGCGCAGTGCTCTACCCGCTTTATATCCGCACTTGAAGGAGAAAAGAGACTCGAGGAGGAGAGTGGCGCATGCGCCGCGAAAGCAGAAGCAAGAACGCACGAGGAGCGCAAGCAGCTGGTAGGAGAGAAGAGGCGAGAGTAACGTGTAGCTGTAGGAGAGAGGGAAGTAAGATGGGTGCTCGCGCGTATATAGTGCGAGTGCAGAAGCCGACACGGAGGCTGCGGGGCATAGACCCGAGCAAGAGATGCTCCTCATCTGAAACAAAGCTTTATTTCTAACACGGTCAGCGCGCTATCAAGGCAGCCCCGCCGTGGGGTATACTGGATAAGGTACTCGGCTGCTGACCCGCAGCTGGCAGGATCGAATCCCGGCTGCGGCGGCTGCATTTTCGAAGGAGGCGAGAATGCTATATGCCCGTGTGCTCAGATTTGGGTGCACGTCTCTCACAATCTCACGGCGTCTCTCACAAACATATGGTAGTTTTGGGACATTAACCCCTACGTATCAATCAATCAATCAATCAATCAATCAATCAATCAATCAATCAATCAATCAATCAATCAATCAATCAATCAATCAATCAATCAATCAATCAATCAATCAACCAACCAACCAATCAATCAATCAATCAATCAATCAATCAATCAATCAATCAATCAATCAATCAATCAATGTATCATGAGGTCTAGCAGCTGCACAGAATCACTGCTCGAATTTGCTGTTGCGAATGGCTGAGGTAACAAAAAATCTGAGGACTGGCATGGTCGATGGTTGCAGGGTGGCATGCTGCAGATGGCCATCACAATGGGCATCTTGTACTGCTACCTGTTGGGTCGCTTCCTCACCTGGGATTATCTCGCTTTGGCATGCATGCTACCAGCAGCACTTCTCTGCATTGCCTCCATGTTCTGCGTGGAATCGCCTCGATGGCACCTGCTGTCGGGTAGAAAGGTAAGCGAACTTCGAATATTTATTCGCTCTCAAGAATATATGTCGTTAAAGTTTATCTGATACTTAAGAGAAGTACAACACATAAAGTACAATACTATATCGTCCCATATATATACATATTTTGCTACACTGTCGGAAAAATGCTGCTACGAATATTTGCTTGTTGACTTTCATTGCATTAAGAAGTCATTGTTCCTTGTATTTTGTGTGTGACAATGGTGTAAGTGAATTCACGTGTTGTTTGGATTGATAATTTTTGTTCTTTATGAATAAATATCTATATTATACCCTCTCTAATGACTCTACATTGGGGTCAACATAACGAAAAATAAATTGACAAATAAATAAATAAATAAATAAATAAATAAATAAATAAATAAATAAATAAATAAAGAAATTGATCACGCATAATCTTTCCTATTTTTGGAATTCTGAAGCACCACCAGCGTCACAAAGGCAGTGTGATCAAATAAAAGCTGTCATATGGTCCACAGGCGAAAAACATCAGTATCTGCTGGTGCAGAAAACGCTTCTTTTGTCGGCTGGATAGTAAAAGGATCGCCCGCCACGTCACGCAGCTGGCAAAGAGTTTTCCGAACTCGCCGTCATGGCTACCAATACTGCTCACTAACATCCACAGGTGTAACGGCACAATTACATCCGAATAAATGTATGAGAAGACAAAATAACAGCCGCTGTATTTCCATTGGTAGAGCATCGGATCCGTTATTCGAAATTGGCAGGTTCGGTTCATGCCAGCGGCGTGTTGTCGTTTCTAGAACTTCAATTTCTTCCCGCTCACATTGTTAATACTACAGATGACGTCTACTATATATAATTTTCCTGGGATTTAACAGGTTACATTAACAGATTACATGATGACGGTGACAGAACGCAACAGACAGTGTTAGAATAAGTACATAGCTTATCTCTACATGAGTTGACTAACAGAGTCTTGCATTGTGCCCGTAACAAGTGATGTTATTTTTTTGTTGCTGCTGTTGTTTGACCGACAGTTGCTTGCATCACCTCTACGGTGGTTACAAATGTTTGTTACGAGTACTCTAGACGATTTAGCCTATTTCGTATGTGCCCTGGGGCCAGGTTCTCAATATATACCGTCTCGTATCTACACTCTATGAACTTTTACACCCTAAGAGGGGTAAAACGGGTGTACGCATAGAAATTACCCATTTGAACACCCTTCTTACACTCCAATTTTCAAGTTTGAGGTGTTCGTGAACAAAACATTCTCAAAACACACCATTTACACCCTTACTTTTGGGGTGTTACGAACAAGGCTACAAATGATTGATTGATTAGTGGGGTTTAACGTCCCAAAACCACCATATGATTATGAGAGACGCTGTTGTGGAGGGCTCCGGAAATTTCGACCACCTGGGGCTCTTTAACGTGCACCCAAATCTGAGCGCACGTGCCTACAAGGCTACAAGCGCATGACATTTTCGGGCAGTTTTGCTCAAACTGTAGTATACATTAACCATCTTAATACCAGCAAGGCTCCTACTACTAGCTGCCTGCGGGTCTAGTAATAAATCGAAGCAGAAAGTAATGTGACCAAAACGCAGTTTTCATCGATAAAGCACGCAAACTACTATAAAACGGAAGATACAATAGGAGCGCCGCTTGTTTAATAGAGTAAGGGTCAATTCTCCTGTATTAGTTTCTTTCATCTGTGTCATTTGCGTGATTAATCAACACTAACAAAGTGCACTGATTTGCCTGAACAAGGTAATGTTGCGCACATTAGTGTAGCCATGCATAGAACACTCCCCCTCCCCCCATCTCCCATAAGATCGAAGCTTTTAAAGCTGGAGATAAAATGTCCACCACCTGCAAAAAAAGAAAACACAGCACAGTTGCTTAGCCATAACCACACGTCAGCAGGCCATCAGGGCCCTTAAAAACGAACATTGACGTCATGTATTTTCAGCAGGGACGTTTTATTCAATTACTGTAGCGAATGTTCCTCTTCATGTGTCCTTAAAAGTGCGTGATGGAAATTAGGAAGAGGACACCGACCATAAAGAAAAATGCAGAATAAGGACATTTTGGTGACCTTGACGCAGCCTTGCTCACAATGACGGGAGCCTTGTTGACTAAATTGCGAACAAAGCTCTCCTCAGGGGAGCCGAAACGCATTCTCTAGTTCTCTCTCTCTCTCTCTTCGTTTTTTTGTGGATCCTCTCTTTTTAATTTATGTAACTTCCCCAGCAGACGTGCTTCGGTCAAAGCCCTGACTTTGTAGGTAGTGAGAAAACAACATTGATTAAATATTTTCTGCCGTGGTCTTGTTCCAAGGACTGCAAGCAAAGTACAAATGTATTGTCGCAACGTGAAGACAGAAGTAGTAATTAATAGGTTGAGAAAGTAGCAGCAGGTCAGTATTTCTATTTACTGCGCGCTAGAGCATTCCTCTTCTTTCTTGTTATTGCTTGCTGCATAAAAGCGTGCAGATGCGCGCATGCGCGGTCGTCTTCGTCTTCCTAGCGGTACGCACGTGGCAATATGTTATCATCGAATAGTGTGACGGCCACTGCATGCAATGTTGCAATGTCTTTACCGAAATGAAAGTGCTGATAAAATATCGCCTGCGTGACCCTGAATGTGCTGTCCCTAAAGACCCATAGAGCTAAGCAAAAAGCATCAGCTTAGCTTTTTTACCAAAATTCACTACATTAGGTCGGTGAAGGTGCGCTAAACATTGCTCCTGAATATTACAAATGCGCCTTCTGACTAGTAGCTCGTGCTGGCCGCACTGCACCGTCACAAAGTTCACTGCGATTCAGATGCACTGTTAAAGAACGAGTATAACGCAACAAACCGGTGCCGCAAAAAAAAAAAAAAAAACAGCGCCCGCGCTATCAGCAGAAGGCTGGAGCTAGCGTTAAACCGCATCTAGCCGGTTTGAAAGCGCGCCGATGCCATGATGTCTCGTCTCCTAGAAAACCTTGGCTGCCCGGTATTGCTGCGCGCCGGGCGCACAGCGCGGGAAAGGCGTCGACGTCGTCTTACATGTCAGTGCGTGCGCTGGCGAAAAACCCTCCCGTGTGTGTGCGTGTGGTGCGCGTGGCTTCTCGATCGGTAGAGTTTATTAGTCAGTGTTTAGTTTGAAAGGTGCCTGCGCTCTGTGCTCCACCAGCGTGTTCTGTCAGTGCTGATTATTGCGAAGGTGCACTATCCTGAAAACTGGACCTGCGCATTCATTTGTGGAGCACTCGAAGTGAAATAGTGAGTACCGCTCTGACGTTGTTCCGTTCAGCGCTTTGTTAACTGCGTGAGCACGAGAATAACGCCTTCAAACAATTTTGTTTTCAACTAGTTGATGACGATTGAGCATTTGTTTACTAGAGAGAATATTTGCTCGAGCTATTTCACGGGGATGATGGCGAAGTGTGGTTGTGGGCAAGTTTTTTTGTTTGTTTGTAGTACAAAGCAGAGTAAACGTGCGCCGATGAGGTTCAGCGAAGAAATTGAACAGATTTTTGTGGTGCCCTTTGTTGGCAGCCGTTTTTAACGGGGCCCGCTCGTGATGCAGATCAATTTTAGTTTACTAATTAATACATGTGTGGGGACGGCACCTGTTAGCTCTAAGCATTAACCGTATCTAGGGCGCATATGCTTGGGCATGTTAGTAGTTCATTTACTCTCTTTTTTTTTCCTATTGCACAAAAAGACCCAGAACTGAAAACAAGGGCGTGGGGTGCATGTCGCTCTTTTCGGTTCTTTTTCGTTTTGTGCGGGAACACTACCGTGATAACTCGGGTTGATGCATCGGGTGACAACACTGCATATTGCTTCGCGTTAGGTGCGCCTCGCGAAGTTTGCCTACTTGCTAATACATTAAATTTCGTTAAATTGGTCTTCACCAGTATTTTCGTTCACCCGCAACGTAGCGTGACACTGCCGACAGCCGTGCCTGTGGAGCGGATCGAGCACTGAAGCTGGACTTTTGTTTGAACAGACCTTTAGTCTGTGTGTGTGGTCGAATTGCCTACTGGAACAGTGCAAATGCTTGTTTGAACATAACTGTTAACGTTCGAGCACATTTTATTCAGATTGTTTCCATCAAGTGTAACTTTCAAAATATTTTTGTTATTCAGAGTTTTATTGCCATCGCCTCGCTTTGGCGTTTAACTTCGCTGAGTACTTCAGATGTTAAAGGTATTTTCACTATGTGAAGCGTATTATTAGTTTTATTTTGTTGCACAGAAAACACTTTAATGTTATACATACTGCACGGTATCTAAGCATGTGTTTCAGCCAAAATACAAGACTGCACAGCATATTTATCTGGGAACACAACACGCACAGCCACTGAACAGCCTACGCTGTATCGGGAAGGAGTTATGCTTTCTCACCCTGACAGCTTGATTGAAACAAATGGCCCTAATTTAGCAGTATGCAATGGTCATTGAGTGAAAGTAACAGGGTCACCTTATTCTAAATTTCCCAGCCAATTTTGCGGCTATGGAAAATGTGTTTGAAAAAAAAAAATCGTACTGATTTAATGCGCTGAAAACAGTGAACTGCTTGAATATTTCGGAGAGAAAAAAGTTTTTGGTCACGTGGTTACCTTTCAAACTTTCCGGAATGTTGTTTGAGCATTGTTTGTGAAGAAAAACATTTTACAAGTACCGCTCCTTTTTTTTTATACCATGTTTGTTACATGTTAAGTAAAGGGGCTTATGTAAGGTGTTTTTGAAGCTCAGTAATATTAATACAAATTTTCGGCCACATACGTCTGCAAGAATTCAGCCAAAATGTGTTATGTTCACATTTTTTCATTGCGATACTGCACTTTGCATGAATAACTGAGCTGTGACTACTTACATCACAGAAAAGATATTTTGTTGAAAAATTATTTTTAGACATCTTACGCTGTTAACCTCTACGAGAAAAGATCACTCATTTCACAGAATTGTCATTTTTGTCCGTATTGAGACGCAATTTGCACCATGTGGTTGTCCAATTAAAAATCAGCTTTTACCTAAATTGAAAGCAAATAAACAGCTCTTTGTATGCGACAAGTTTCATCACTACAATTTCTATTTCAAGGAATAAAATAATTTTAAATTTTTCCATCAACGGCAATGGGGAACTTCGAGGCGTCAGCTACCGTAATACCAAATGGCAAATGGGGAACTTGGAACTTCAAAAATCATTTAGGGGTGAAGCTCTTGAGGCCGTGGGTCGTTCCCTCCTCTGTTGTCGTACTAGTATTATGTAGCCACTTGCACACTAGATAGCGTTAGTGGTTTTCACAGCATATACACGGACAAAATTATGATTCGGGGGGCGAATCGTTCGTCCATACATTTGTACTTTCGTCCGTTCGTCTGTGCATCCATCCGTCCGGGCTTCCGTGTGTCGTTCTGTGTGTGAGTCCGTCCGTCTTTCTGTCCATCCATACTTGCGTCAGACTGTCTGTTCGTCCGTTTGTGCGTCCGAACGGACGAACGCTACGCCCCACTCATCATCATTCACTCCGTGGATATGCTGTGATCTTTTTCTCCAAACATATATTGCTATGACAAAATTTGGCACGTGAAGAGAACTGTTTACTAGCTTTTGATTTAGGTACAAAGTCTATTTTAATTCAACCACCACATGGTGCAATTTACGTCTCATTATAGACAAAACAACTATTTTGTGAAATTCACGATTTTTTTCTCGTAAAATTGGACAGCTTGAGAGGTCTAAAATATTTTTTTTTCATCCGAACATACCTTATGTGAATTAGGTATTCACTCCTCGAATAATAATTCAAAATGCAGTATTGATATAGAAAAATGCAGATATAACACATTCCGGCTAAATTATTTGAGCCGTATGTGGTCGAAAAATGGTAATAATATTACTGAGCTTCAAACACTTTACGCAAGCCCTTCACTTCTTAACTTGTAGACCAAATTTGGCACGAAAGAAGAAGAGGTACTTATGAAATAATTTTTTCACAAACATCCAGACGAGATTCTCGGAAGTTCAGGCGGCAGCTACGCGACCAAAAAATTATTTGCCTGCGAAATATTCTAGCAGTTACCTTTTTATTGCAGCAAAATAAGCACGATATTTTCAAATACATTTGAGATGGTCGCCAAAATGACCCAATAGCCAATTCTTCGATTATATAATCGTGTCAATGTGAGCCAGTTCAAGAACGCTAGTATCATTCGCATTTCAATACGTAACTGTACAGTACTTAATTTTACAAGTTACCTGCACTGAATGCCTTCTCAATGCGCATACCATCATGTATGCTCAGTGGCATTGTGCTTTTGTGCAATACAGATAAAATATGTATATGTTCTTGCGCGTCGTACTGTATTCCTTTTAATAAACTGATCGAATGAGTATCATATGGTAGATTGCAGAATTACACATGCAGTCGTGTTGATGCATACTTAAGCATAGAACTTGGCATTTACTTAGATTGGTCGATGCATACAGCTAATTAAACACTATCAACTTGAAGCTGCGCTTTTTATTTGCTGCGCGAGCAAGCTGAAAGGGTAAAGTAGAGGTTCATATCTACGGCACGAAAAGTATAATGATTCTGCCACAGCGCGCTTTTCATGGCGTTTATTGCTCAGCGTACCTTTTCTAGCATTCCTCACTGCAGTGGAGCCGATGCCACTGAATATGCTTGCTATGCACTCAGTTTATACTTACACATAAGAAAGCAGTTAGGCAGGGTGCATACTGTATGTTGCACTCTTTGTGAAATTTTGGTCATTGTTCCTTGTGTATTTATTTTAGGTTTCCGGGATTGAATTTCCTGTGCAGAAAGAACAGCTTCGCGCCACTTCTCTCGAAGGCACCAGTCATCTCAGCAGCTGAAGACGATTGTGCAAGCAGCAGTGATGAGCTGTAGTTTTGCAGTTAGAAATATATGAACACTGACATTACATTAATACAACCCCGATTACACTGCCTTGTCGAATGTTCTCATTTTTAATGTCAAAATTTATATTGCGAGATATAATAGGTTGTAAATGTGACTCCAGAAATTCGCTTACTCTTTCTACATGTTTTTTTTCTATTGTACAGGTGTTAATAAACGCCATACCTCTCAGTCGTTTGCCCGACTACCGCAATGTTTTTGAAAGTTGTGGGGATTTATTGTATTGAAAACAATGAATTTCTAGTATAGAGAGAAAAAAACTTGGTCACGTGATATATTTCAAAATTTTGCAGAATGCCACCAGAGTCAGACTTGCAGTTTTTCTATAATAAAGGCAGATGTTAACATATGGGCTTAATTGTTTTTTGCTTCGGCGTTATGTTCGGTTGAACTTTACGCTACAGGTTACTGCTTGCACTACTGTGTGTACGTGCGTGTGTGTGTGTGTGTGTGTGTGTGCGTACGTGTGCGTGCGTAGATGCGTGTGTGTGTGTGTGTGTGCCTTCCGCGTCCTACTTTGTCGCATGATGATGGATGGTAGCGCAGACAACGAACACGGACATGAGAAGGCACATAGACACAACACAGCGCTAACTTTCAACAACAGTTTATTACACGCAGATCTCCGTGGTGTATGCGATCCACCACGCCAACGTCGCACGTGCGTAGCTCTAAAAACCATCAAATATAACCAACGCGCGTGTTCCAATACTTTACAATTTTATATTTTTCAATCTTTTTTTACTTTTTCTTTCTTCCTTTTATCCCATGTTACCACAAACCCTATCGCGAATACATGTAATCAAGTTCCTTATCTGTCAACACCACTGATGGGCTGCTCACACACGTGTCACCTAGCTCTGCAATTCTGCCGGCCTCCAATACCAACCGCGTCATCTCGTGCCTACTTCTATTGATTATAACCGTTTCCTTGAATTTCGGTGTGCACTTACATCTCTGGCAATGAAGGGAAAGAAAACCATCAGGAACAACACTATTTACTTTGTTATTGTGCTCGCGCAAGCGATCGTTTATGCATCTACTGGTCTGACCGATATAACACTTTCCACAAGTAAGTGGAATGAGGTATACAACACACATGATGCACTCCACAAATAGGTTTCTATGTTTCTTTTGGCATACATTTGATTTTCCCTTGTCTGGTCTTGTGCTTCTGCAAAGACTCACCAACTTATTGGGTGCCGAGAAAACTACGTTAGTGCCACATTTTTCCGCAATCTTTTTTATCCTGTGAGAAACCTTATGCATGTATGGAATTACGGCAAAACTTTCCTTTCTTGAGCTCACCCTATCCATCCCTTCACATCTTTTCTCCAGCACTTTTCTGTGCAATCCTTCAGCAACGGACACGACGAGGCTCTTGGGGTACCCGGCATTGCTTAGCCTCGAGACCTGTTGTCTGAAGCTTTCATTCATGAGGCACCGGCAGGACTTCTTTAGTGCCTCACTCAAGCACATCTTCGCAACGCCTCGTTTTACCAGTTTAGTATGCGCTGAGTGAAACTGTAGTAAAGGCTTA